TCAACACACTAATGAAAAAACACTATTAATATACTTCATTTCATTAAATGATCATATATGGCTACTGCAAATTCTACCTACATGTTTTAACTTCCACAACTTTCTCAACCAAATCATGTGTCAACGATCCACATGACACGGTAGACATGGAGCATTAAAGAAATCACGATTACTAAAATGGTACCAGTTTTGACAAAAATCGTACCGCTTATTCTTTTGCGTAGTACTTGTTTTTGATCAATTAGTACCTACATTTGGTCAACGAAAATGGATTACTTAAATTTGGTCAACATTTGCAAAAAATGGTACCAGACCTAGAGTAAGACAGTACCAGCTTTAGGGTGTTTCAGTACCAGATATGGACTATTCAGTACCAACTCCGGCAAACAAAAAAAAACACTGAATTTTGGTCCCAAATGATGTTTATATGACCAATTATCACGCTCACATTAGTTTATATGAGATTTTAAATATTTTTAATTTAGGTTCAATCGCAAATTGGTCATGAACTCAACACAGTAATGAAAAAACACTACTAATACACTTCATCTCATTAAAATACACACTTCATCTCATTAGATAATCATACATTACTACTCCAAATTCTACATGTATGTTTTAACTTCCACTATTGCTCAACCAAATCACGCGTCAACGATCCACCTGACATGGTTGACATGGAGGATTAAATAAATTACAATTACTAAAACGGTACCAGTTTTGACATAAATAGTACTGCTTCTTCTTCTGTGTAGTACCTGTTTTTTATCAATTAATACCTATTTTTCGTCAACGAAAATGGATTATTTCAGTTTTGGTCAACATTTGCAAAAATTGGTACCAAACTTAGAGTAATATAGTACCAGCTTTATGGTGTTTTAGTACCAGATATCGGGTATTTAGTACCAACTCCGACGAACATAAAAACACCGAATTTGTCTCAAATGATGTTTATATAACCTATTATCACTCTCACATTAGTTTCTATGAGAGTTAAATTGTGTTTAATTAAGTTTAATCACAAATTGGTCACGAACTCAACACACTAATGAAAAAATACTACTAATACACTTTTATATCATTAAAAGACACTTCATTTCATTGAATTAACATACATGGCTACTCCAAATTCTATCTATATGTTTTAACTTCCACTATTTTTCTAAATCACACCTGAACGGTCCACGTGGCATGGTAGACATGACATATTCATGAAATCATGATTAGTAAATTGATACCAGTTTTACGGATAATAGTACCACTTTTTCTTCTATGCAATACCAGTTATTGATGAATTAGTAACTACTTTGTTAAAGAACAAAAAATGAATTACTTCAATTTTGGTCAACATTTGCAATATTAGTACCAGGGCTAGAGTAAGATAGTACCGCAATTATGTTGTTCTAGTACAAGATATCGGGTCTTCAGTACCAACTCCGACGAACATAAAAAAAAAAAGATTTCGTAAATTGGTTCCAGTTTTACCGATAATAGTACCACATTTTGTTTTATGCAGTACCAGTTCTTGATCAGTTAGTATCTATTTTGTAGAAAGAAAAAAAAATAGATTTCTTCAATTTTAGTCAACATTCGTTGACCAAAATAGGTACTAATTGATTTAAATGAGGTAATGATTAGAAGAAACGTGGTTCGGACATGTCCAACGGAGGCCTCCTGATGCACCGGTGCGTAGGGGAGTTCTTCAGCGGATCGATGACGTTAACAGAGGTAGAGGTCGACCTAAACTCACTTGGGAAGAGTCGGTTCAGAGAGACCTTAAAAATTGGAATATCTCTAAGGATTTAGCGGTGGATAGGAGCGCTTGGACATGCCGGAACCGTGACTTTTGATCCTTTCTCTTTTGCTCCAATCTCTCTCTTTTGTTTTGTTTTGTTTTGAGTTTTGTTTTATTTTGTTTTGTTTTGGTTTTGTTTATGAGTCCTTTTTGTGTTTCTCCTACCACTGTTTCTCTTGTGCTCTAGCCTACTCCAACTTGTTTGGGATTTAAAGGTTTTGTTGTTGGTGTTGTTGTATACTTATTTATTGGAAAAAAAAAAAGAAATAAAATTAAATAAAAAATTAACGTAAGCATCCCGATGACAAGACTAATCAAAAGTGGACGTTTGACAAGACCAAACTAAAAATGAGGGTTAGATAAGGGAACAAAAAACTCCTTTTACCTCTATATAGTATGAAATGTTTACTTCATAGTTTCTTAGTTTTTAGGTATAACATTTGAATATAAAAGTATGTAAATTCCACATGTTGATATCAT